ACTTCCTATTGTAACTAAACCCAAGACAGCGAGAACAGCGAGCTTTCTCATTGGAGCGCGTTTTCTTGACGGGACGAAAACAGAACAATGCTACAGCATTGAGTGGACTATTTTCCGTATGGTGGGATATTTTTGGAGCTAGCCTAGCACCTTACTACCTCAAAACTATTGGCTAACGGAGCTTTGTCTGTGAGTAATGAACAATGTCAATAAGAGACACTCGACTAAATAACTGTGTCGTGCTGGTGCGGTAGGCTTCTCTCATTTTTCACTATCCACAACTCACCGACAAAGCCTTTGACCGTCTGTTTTGTCGTAGTGCAGTATAGAATCCACAGCCGCTTTTTACACGGTAAGAATATTAAACGAATCAAGACCATTCATCTAACGAGCAAATCCGATGGGACTGAAGTGGTTATGGGGAGGGCTTTGAAAACTCCCAAAACAGAACACGTTCCAAAACGAGGGCCATCAGCATTGTAGTTCAGCACGAAACGAAGTGAGTCTATTATAAGTTTCGCAACAAAGGGACCCCCCCCCCTCCCGTTCCACCTCGACCCTCCGCATCAAAAAATGAAATAACACAGGACAAATGAGTGGTACCCTCCAACCACCCAAAAGTACAGGGTACAGACGCCAGTTACTAACTTAAGATATTATACGCAAATCTCGACCATCAGTGCTATACTTCCGTGATAAACGTCTGTACAGAAAACACATGATAGTCTCTCATGCAACTGTCCACACTTATGACATTTCAAGCCGGAAAAATTAAAACAAGTAAAGAACATCTTCAAATATAATTCTCAACAGAGGCACTTTATTTATACAGAGAATCTTTAGGCATCTTTGATATACGTTACCAATTCAATGTCAAAAATATAGAATCTGCAATCATCGTTTTCTTATGTGCGTCCATTATCGTCAGAACAAAGACAATTTTTGCACACCCCTGGCAGCAATAAGCGTTTCCTGTGCACACACACACATACACACACACACACACACACACACACACACACACACACACACACACACACACACACACACTCTCTCTCTCTCTCTCTCTCTCTCTCTCTCTCTCTCTCTCCTCCCCCCCCTCTCTCTCTCTCTCTCTCTCCGTATACAAACACATACACACACACACACACAGATATATATATCCCTCTGCTCCCTCTCTCTTTGCAAATAATCACTCATGAGGTCTCATTCAACGTCATTAACTACTCGTGTTAACATTGAGTCATCCAACTTTTTCTATTTATTCGCCTGTCTGTCGGTCTCTGTGTATGTCATGTTGGTCTATCTGTCTGTCTTCCTGTATCTGTCTGTTTTATACATATTATACACTTTCTCAACAATGCTCTCAGTTCACACACTTACATACACTCATGTATTAATACTCCCCCCTTTCTCTCTTTGTCTCTATCTCTCTCTTTATCACCTCTCTCTCTCTCTCTCTCTCTCTCTCTCTCTCTCTCTCTCTCTCTCTCTCTGTCTCTCTTGTTTTCACCTCTAAGATAGATCAGCAACATCACTTGTGCACATCTTATCACTGACTAGAAACATTTTGAATGAGACATAAGAAAAACTGTATTACTTTCATCGCACTTAGTTGTCTGTGTGAGAATCATGTGACATGATATCATTCTTTGAGAACACATATTTCGCCTTTTAGAAAAGAAAGACTAGATGAGGAAAACACCCTCAATAGGAAAATGATATTGTTTTACATGAAAATAGAATGCCAACCTTTCGCATTTTAGCCAAGCCCGCAACCTTCTAAGCCACAGCAACCAGCTCACATATTCAAAATATAACTAAAAATGCACCGGTGAAAACCCAACTGTACACGAAACAATGAAAAGTATTGGACAAATATTCATAAGAAATGTGCATCACATAAGCCACCCACTGACATACACTCAAAAACATAATATCTACACAGTGGTAGATGACCAACAAGCGTACCTTCATTTACATAATCATCTTTTTCACGCCATGAGTACCACGACCACAAAAGTTGAAGCACGTCACTTGCTTTTGTTCACCACATGAACAAATGACTACATTCTTTTACCGATGGCAAGGGACCTTCTCATTTTTGCTTTATTTGTATGCATAACGTTCGTCATTCATACCCTGATAACACGAATGTTTGACGAAAACAAAAACAAATCTGTAATGATAACAACAAATTCAACATTCTTTAATATAGACCTGCATGTGTGCTCATGTAATAAGAATGCATTCCATAATTCCATATTAATAATCTGGCAGAATGACTGATGAATGTACATATATTATACTACACTCTACATAAATACACATGCTTGCTCATGCATGAACACATTTTCTCATACGTACACCTGCGCGCGCGCGCGCACACACACACACACACACACACACACACACACACACACACACACACACACACACA